TGGCCATCTGTCAGGGGTGATTTGAATGCAATATTCCTGCTTCTTGGCAGGGGGTTGGACTGGATGGCCCCGGAGGTCTCCTCCAACTCTTTGATTCTTTGATTCTATGTGTGGAAGGGCCTTGAGTCTTCAGTGCCAGATTATTTGGGATTGTAGGGATAGATCCGACCTGGGAGCTGGCTTCACTCCTTTGCTTCTTCACATCCAGGGCGAGCTATTTTAAGAAAGTCACTCCCGCCCCCTCCCTTTTCTCCGCAGGTCGTGACCCCTCGGCGGAGCGGAGCAAAGGAGGGAGGGAAGGAGAGGGGGGAAAGCCAGGAGCGCGCCTCTTCCCGCCCGAACCTGCGTTTGAATCGCGGAGGCCCGCCCAGCCGTCCGCCTGGGGAGAGCCAATCAGGAAGCGGGAAGCGCCGGCTTCTGCCCGGAGCCGCTCCCTCATTGGCGTTGAGCGGGGGAAAGGGGCGTGGCCAGGGGGCAGGTTACAATGTCTCCCACGTCGAGGGGAGGAGCGAGACGGGAGGGGGCAAAACAACAAACAGCGCTTGGGCACGTGTGGGCGGGGCCATGAGGAAGGAGAGGGGACAGAGAGAGAGAGGGAAGGCAGAAGGGAAGAGGAGGCAGCCCTGCCGGCCGCTTGCCCTCCTAACGCCTCGCCTGGGAGAAGCCCCGCCCTGAGCCGGGCGAGCCCCTTCCTTGCGCCGCCCTGCCCTGCCTTGCCCTGCCCTGCCCGGCATTCCCGTCCGCCGCCTGCCAGCGCGATTCCTGCCTCGTCTCCGTTTGACAGCGCTGCCAAGGAGGGAGCTCGGAGGTAGGCGCCCAGGAAGGGGAGGGCAGGGCAGGGCAGGGGATCTGCAGAGGGCCGCCTCCCCCTCCTTCTCTCCCTCCCTCCCGCAGTGCTTGGGGATGCTGCGTGCCCAGCCGGGTCTCATCCCTCCTTTCTCTGCCTCCAGGCGCCTCGGCCTCTCCCGTGGGGGATGCAGCCGGGCGGCGCCGAGGTCCGCGCCGGGGACCGCCTCACCAGCGCTGCCGCCCGAGGAGACCCCCAGGAAGTGCGCCGCCTTCTCCGGGAGGAGCTCCTCCGGCCGGACGCCCGAAACCGCTTCGGAAAGACCGCGCTGCAGGTACGCACTCCAGCCTTCCCACACCTGTCAGGATTTAGTATTACTATTAGTATTATTATTATTATTAAAGGGTTAAAGCCTTGTGCCGGCAGGACTGAAGACCCCCACAGGTCACAGGTTCGAATCCGGGGAGAGCGCGGGTGAGCTCCCTCTGTCAGCTCCAGCTCCCCATTGCGGGGACATAGAATCTCATGTATCCGCCCAGTTCTTGTGGGTTAAAGCCTTGTGCCGGCAGGACTGAAGACCCATAGGTCACAGGTTCGAATCCGGGGAGAGCGCGGGTGAGCTCCTTCTATCAGCTCCAGCTCCTCATGCGGGGACATGAGAGAAGCCTCCTACAAGGATGATAAAAAATCCAGGGAGAGCGCAGGTGAGCTCCCTCTGTCAGCTCCAGCTCCCCGTTGCGGGGACATCAGAGAAGCCTACTACAAGGATGATAAAAATCCGGGGAGAGCGCAGGTGAGCTCCCTCTGTCAGCTCCAGCTCCCCACTGCGGGGACATCGAATCTAATGTATCCACCCAGTTCTTGTGGGTTAAAGCCTTGTGCCGGCAGGACTGAAGACCCACAGGTCACAGGTTCGAATCTGGGGAGAGCGCGGGTGAGCTCCCTCTGTCAGCTCCAGCTCCCCATTGCGGGGACATAGAATCTAATGTATCCACCCAGTTCTTGTGGGTTAAAGCCTTGTGCCGGCAGGACTGAAGACCCACAGGTCACAGGTACGAATCTGGGGAGAGCGCGGGTGAGCTCCCTCTGTCAGCTCCAGCTTCCCATTGCGGGGACATAGAATCTAATGCATCCACCCAGTTCTTGTGCATTAAAGCCTTGTGCTGGCAGTTCTGAAGACCCGCTGGTCACAGGTTCGAATCCGGGGAGAGCGTGGGGGAGCTCCCTCTGTCAGCTTCAGCTCCCCATGTGGGGACATAGAATCAATGTATCCACCCAGTTCTTTCAACTTGTCTAAATAATCAGAGAATCCTAGAGTTGGAAGAAGCCTCCTGGGCCATCCAGTCCAACCCCATTCTGCCAAGAAGCAGGAAATTTGTATTCAAAGCACCCCCGTCAGATGGCCATCCAGCCTCTGTTTGAAAGCTTCCAAAGAAGGAGCCTCCACCACACTCCAGGGCAGAGAGTTCCACTGTTGAACAGCTCCCACAGTCAGAAAGTTTTTCCTTTCTTGTAGTTTGAAGCCATTGTTCTGCGTCCTAGTCTCCTCTCAGCCTTCTCTTCTTCTGGCTAAACATGCCCAGCTCTTTAAGCCACTCCTCATAGGGCTTGTTCTCCAGACTCTTGATCATTTTAGTCGCCCTCCTCTGGACACATTCCAAGGAGCCCCTGGTGGCGCAGTGGGTTAAAGCCTTGTGCCGGCAGGACTGAAGACCCACAGGTCACAGGTTTGAATCCGGGGAGGGCGCGGGTGAGCTCCCTCTGTCAGCTCCAGCTCCCCATGCGGGGACATAGAATCTAATGTATCCACCCAGTTCTTGTGGTTTAAAGCCTTGTGCCGGGAGGACTGAAGACCAACAGGTCGCCGGTTCGAATCCGAGGAGAGCGTGGGTGAGCTCCCTCTATCAGCTCCAGCGCCTCATGCGGGGACATGAGAGAAGCCTCCCACAAGGATGATAAAAAACATCAAATCATCTGGGTGTCCCCGGGCAACGTCCTTGCAAATGGTCAATTCTCTCACATCAGAAGCGACTTGCAGTTTCTCAAGTCGCTCCTGACACGATAAAAAAAAAACCCAGCTCCTTCAGAGCAAAGCTTGTCTAAATAATCAGAGAATCATAGAGTTGGAAGAGACATCCTGGGCCATCCAGCCCAACCCCCTGCCCAAGAAGCAGGAAATTTGTATTCAAAGCACCCCCGACAGATGCCCATCCAGCCTCTGTTTAAAATCCTAACAGCTGGTAAACTGGCTGGGATTTCTGGGAGTTGTAGGCCAAAACACCTGGGGACCCACGAGTTGAGAACCACTGCCCTATAGTCTTGGATAACTGCTCTTCAGGTGCCCTAAAAACCAAAGCAATGCCTTCCACTGCAAAAGCAGAATTTGTATCATGGTGAGATAGAATCATAGAGTTGGAAGAGACCTCATGGGCCATCCAGTCCAACCCCCTGCCAAGAAGCAGGAAAATTGTATTCAAAGCACCCCCGACAGATGGCCATCCAGCCTCTGTTTAAAAGCTTCCAAAGAAGGAGCCTCCACCACACTCCGGGGCAGAGAGTTCCACTGCTGAATGACTCTCACAGTCAGGAAGTTCTTCCTCTAAAAGCCAAAAAACAGAAAAAACAGAAATTACAACACATGCACAAAACAACATATACAAAAATATATATACACACAAAACACACACACAGACTGGGCCACAGCAACGTGTGGCAGGGGACAGCTAGGTATAAATAAAAATGTAATGTTCAATGTATTGTCGAAGGCTTTCATGGCTGGAATCACTCAGTTCTTGTGGGTTTTTTCGGGCTATATGGCCATGTTCTAGAGGCATTTCTCCTGACGTTTCGCCTGCATCTATGGCAAGCATCAGGAGAAATGCCTCTAGAACATAGCCCGAAAAACCCCACAAGAACTGAATGTAATGTTCGTTTGTGGGATTAACATAACTCAAAAACCACTGGACGAATTGACACCAAATTTGGACACAAGACATCTATCCAGCCAACAAGTGACCATCAGTCATAACAAATACTGAAAAACATAGTGGAAGGGACTTAAAAAGCCAAAAAAAGCAAAAAGATGTTACAGCGCATGCGCAAAACCACACACACACACATATATCCATACACAAAAACACATATATACACATAGGTAAAGGTAAAGGTTTTCCCCTCACATTAAGTCCAGTTGTGTCCAACTCTGGGGGTTGGTGCTCCTTTCCATATGTGTATATATTATATTATTATTATTATTATTATTATTATTATTATTTACCTTACTTATATACCGCTATTCTCAGCCCGAAGGCGACTCACAGCGGTTCACAACAAATACGAACAGCAAAAATTCAGTGCTACAGTATAGAAACAGTTAACAACCTAACACATTACACAATTAATAAACAGTTACTACAATACCCATTCACTGTCGTCTCGTCATCAAAAACATGTTCCAGATTCGTCATCCATTGTTCCATTCCAGTGTTCATTAACCAATCATTGCACTAATTAGTCGAACGCCTGCTCAAACAGCCAGGTCTTCACTTTTTTGCGGAATACCATTAGAGATGGTGCTAGTCTAATGTCCGTAGGAAGGGCGTTCCACAGCCGAGGAGCCACCACCGAGAAGGCCCTATCTCTCGTCCCCGCCAGCCGAGCTTGAGAAGCAGGCGGGATCGAGAGCAGGGTCTCCCTGGAAGATCTCAAAGTCCTGGTGGGTTCATAGGCAGAGATGCGGTCGGATAGGTAGCTTGGGCCGGAACCGTTTAGGGCTTTAAAGGCCAACGCCAGCACTTTGAATTCAGCCCGGTAGCAGATCGGTAGCCAGTGGAGTTGGCGCAACAGGGGGGTTGTATGCTCCCTGCGCTCCGCTCCTGTTAAAATCATGGCTGCCGAGCGTTGGACTAGTTGGAGCTTCCGAGCTGTCTTCAAAGGCAACCCCACGTACATATACACAAATATATACACACACCTATACACACACAAAACACATATACACAGACTGGGCCACAGCAATACGTGGCAGGGGATGGCTAGTACCTGATAAAATTCCTCCATACAAACAAAGCATTGAAAAAATACATTGCAATGTATTCACAAAACCACACACACACATATGCAAACACACACATATACACAAAAAAATGCGCACACACACACAAAACATATACACAGACGGCCACAGCAACGTGTGGCAGGGGATGGCAAGTGTGTGTGTATATATTTGGCTGGAGGTACACTTAAAAATGGATCTATTCTGACTTACAATAATAATAATAATAATAATAAAATAACTTTATTTTTGGACCCCACCTCCATGTCCCCAAAGGGACTCAGGGCGGCTTACATGGGGCCAAACCCAACTTACAATCAAACTCAGCTTAAGGACAAACCTACAGAACCAAACTTGTTTGCAACTAGAGGACTGCCTGTACCTGAGGATGAGGGTGATAGCTCCACGGCTTTGTGGCTGAGGCCCTGCACCTCTCCCTCTCAGCGCCCCTTTTCTCAGCTGCTGACCTTGCATCCTAGGCCTCTCTGATCTGCCTCTGTCTTCTCGCCGCTCTTCCGTTTTGACCAAGTGCGGGGAAGCTCAGCCAGGACATCAAAGCTAGTGGCTACTGCTGCTTCTTCTTTTTCTTCTTCCCCGCTGAGGCAGAGCCAAGGCAGGGTCACTCCAGGGCCGTGGGTGACTTGCAAGGGGAAGGAGAGGCAAGCCCTGCCCTGCTGCAGAAGCTATTGGCAGGTCCTGTTGGGGCAGAAATGATCCCTTCGCTTCTGAGTCAGTTTCTGTGACAGATATCACGCAAAAAATTGACTGCTAAACCCAAGTATTATTTATTTATTTGCAACATTTATATGCCGCCGTTCTCACCCTGAAGGGGACTCAGAGCGGCTTACAATATATATATATATATATATATATATATATATATATATATATATATAGTGTGTGTGTGTGTGTGTGTGTGTATATATATATATATAGTGTGTGTATATATATATATGTATGTATGTATATACATATGTATATGTATATAGGTGAACTATAAATCCCAGCAACTACAACTCCCAAATGAAAAGATTCTATTTTCCCCAAACTCCACCAGTGTTCACATTTGGGCATAGTGAGTATTCTTGTAGAGTTTGGTCCAGATCTATCATTGTTCGAGTCGACAGTGATCTCTGGATGTAGGTGAACTACAACCCCAAAACCAAAGGACACTGCCCACCAAACCCTTCCAGTATTTTCTGTTGGTCGTGGGAGAACTGTGTGCCAAGTTTGATTCAATTCCATCATTGGTGGGGTTCAGAATGCTCTTTGATTGTAGCTGAACTATAAATCCCAACAACTACCACTCCCAAATGACAAACTCAATTTTTTTGAGTGAAGGGCATACATTGGGTTGTTAGGTGTCTTGTATCCAAATTTGTTGTCAATTCCCCCAGTGGTTTTTGAGTTCTGTTAATCCCACAAACAAACATTACATTTTTATTTATATATAGATTATTAGCATTGTACAATTTCAGTATTATATATTACTATATTGCACTATACCATTATATTGTAATATTATTAGTAATGCTACATGTAATATAAAATATATATTTATCATATTACTAGCTATACCCGCCAGGCTTTGCTGTGGCCAACCTTCCCTCTTTCTCTCCCTTTTTCCCTCCTTCCTTCATTCCCTCTTTCCTTCCTTCCCGTCTTTCTTCCTTCTCTATCTCTTTCCTTCCTTCCCCCTTTTCTTTCTCTGCTGCTGTCTCTCTTTTCTTCCCTCTCTCTTTCCTTCCTTCCTTCCCTCCTTCTTTCCTTCCTCCTTTCCCTTTTTTCTTTCCTTCTCACCTTCCTTCTTTCTCTAACTTTCCTTCCTTCCCCCTTTTTCTTTCCCTCCTTCTCTCCTTTCTTCCTTTCTTTCTTTCTTTCTTTCTTTCTTTCTTTCTTTCTTTCTTTCTTTCTTTCTTTCTCCTTCCTCTCTTCCCTTTTTCTTTCCTCCTCCCCTCCCCCTTCCTTCCCCTCCTATTCTCCTCTCTTCTCCTTCCTTTCTTCTCCTCTCCTCCCCTCTCCTCCCTCCCTCCCTCCCTCCCTTCCTTCTCTCTTTGCTGCCCTGTTTCCTTCTCCCTTTCCTTCTTTCTTTCCCTCCCTCTTTCTTTTCTTTCCTTCTTTTTTTCTCCCCTTCCCTCCCTCTTTCCTCCCTTTATTCTGTATTGTCATTTAGCTTTTCGTCATTTAGGTTTTTTGGGCTTTTTAAATCCCTTCTGCTGTGTTTTTCAGTGTTTTTATGAGTGAAGGACATACATTGGGTTGTTAGGTGTATTGTGTCCAAATTTGGTGTCAATTCCCCCAGTGGTTTTTGAGTTCTGTTAATCCCACAAACGAACATTACATTTTTATTTATATAGATAAGTACCGCATTTCTTCTATTCTAAGTCGCTATCCATTGCACTATGTAGCAGGATTTTTGTTCTTGGGTTATAAATATCATTTCCTAATTGGTTCTATCATGAAAACATGGGAAAAATTATTAAACTGCCAAAACTTTGTTTTGTTGGGACATCTTGCAGCACGTTCCGCTATAGTTTTTCAATGAATATCTCATAGTATCACAACTACTTTGAAAGTAGTTGTGATACTCCAGAAACTTCGTTTTTGTGACTATATTGGTTGAGACTCTATGACAGGCATGGGCAAACTTTGGCCCTCCAGGTGTTTTGGACTTTAACTCCTATCATTCCTAACAGCCTCAGGTCCTTTCCTTTTTCCCCCTCAGCCGGTTAAGGAGTTGAGGGGGGAAAAAAAGGGTCCTGAGGCTGTTAGGAATAGTGGGAGTTGAAGTCCAAAACACCTGCAGGGCCAAAATTTGCCCATGCCTGTCATAGTCTCAACCAATGTAGTCACAAAAACCAAGTTTCTGGAGTATCATAACTACTTTCAAAGTAACTACTGCACAATTAAACAGGAAATAATACTTTCAAATCCAGAACAGGTTTATTTTTTCAGATTTTGTTACATAGTGTTGTAAGACCCACACTAATTTCAGTACCACCTATGGAAAAAAACACCCAACCAGCTAGATAGATAGATAGATAGATAGATAGATAGATAGATAGATAGATAGATAGATAGGCTGTGATTCAAAGAGAGATGCTTATATGGGTAAGATTCAACACACACTGTGATTTTGTTTGTGTTGATCAATCGCAGGCGCGATTGGTGGGGATGAGGGAGAGGGCCTTCTCGGTGGTGGCCCCCCGACTCTGGAACTCACTTCCCAGGAACATTAGACATGCCCCCACGTTGGCAGTCTTTAGGAGAAGCCTGAAAACGTGGTTGTTCCAGTGTGCCTTCCCAGAATAAGGAGAACTCTCAGCAATATGTCCTCACAATGCACTTTAATACAGACTTAGGATGGACTGTGCTCCCTCATTTCTCTCCGAAAAATCCTATCCTAGTTATATTTTACCTTGTTCACGTCAGCCTATTTTCAATTTTAATCCATTACTTTTGGCCCGGCCATTTTTAAAATTGTTTATGTCACTATTGATTGTTTTTTGTTTATGTGATTTATATGATTTGTATTTTATTGATTGTTTATTGTTGTTGTGTTTATTGATGTTTTGTTTGATGTACTTTGGGCTTGGCCTCATGTAAGCTGCACCGAGTCCCTTGGGGAGATGGTAGCAGGGTACAAATAAAGATTATTATTATTATTATTATTATTATTATTATTTTCATTGGGCCGCATTTCTATCACTTTCCCTGAATGAGAGAATGGTAACATCTTCGTACATTGCCAAAAGCAAGGGTCACTATGAATGTGTCTTTGACTCTCTCTCTTCCCTTCCAGGTTATGATGTTTGGCAACGTCTTTGTGGCACAGGAGCTGCTGAAGCAAGGCGCCAACCCCAACCTTCAGGATGCATCAGGCACGGCCCCTGCACATGACGCCGCCCGCACTGGCTTCCTCGACACCCTGAAGGTCCTGGTGGAGCACGGGGCCGACGTCAACCTCCCAGACGCCTCCGGCTCGCTCCCCATCCATGTTGCTACCCGGGAAGGCCACGCTGAGGTGGTGCGCTTCCTGGCGCCCTTGTCCCGGCTGCGGCACCAGGACTTGGAGGGGCGCACGCCGCTGGAGCTGGCGCGGCAGCTGGGCCTCTCGCCCATCCAGGGCATCCTGGAGCAGCACCTCTCTGCCCCAGCTTAGGGCAAAGGCGCGGGGAGGGGGCAGCCTCTGTGCCTGGGCAAAGGGGGAAAGCGATCAACACGGAACATATTTCATGCTCTCGTGTTTAGTCCCATTTTCTCCCCTCTCCCCCCCAAAAGGACTCTCCCTTCCTTCCCCTCCCTCCAATGGGCCATGGAACAAAGGCAGCTCCTCTTGCCCTACCTCAGAGTGTGTGTTCAATAACCTTTGCTGTTGTTTCTATTTATGGGCCTGTTCATGAGTTTTTTCCTCTTCTCTTTTGATTATTTCTTCCAAACTCAAGCCATTTCTCTGGGATCCAGGTGTGGAATGCTCCATTCAGCCCCCTTCTACACTACCATATAAAGATTATCTGCTTTGAACTGGATTATATGGCAGTGGAGACTCATATAATCCAGTTGAAAGCAGTTAATGTGGATTGTCTGATAATCTGGATTATATGGCAGTGTAGAAGGGGCTTCCGTCCTTTGCTTTGGGCCTGAAGAGGAAAAAGTGCACCAGAGATCTTGGGAAAGTTACATTTCTGGACTCCAATTTCCAGAATCCTCCAGTCATGCTGGGTAGAAGGTCCTGGGAGCTGCAGATCACAAATGTAACACTATTCCCATGTTCAGTGGAGAGTGCTTTAACCCTCTCTTAGCATTGTTTCCCACTCCTTGCATTGGGAAGATCCCCTAAATTCAGAATGGATGCAAAGAGTGTGTCCGTTGCCAAGCAAAGACCTTGTCTTCTTTGCCACTTGCACAAGAAATCCCAGTGTTTAGATAGTTTGTCTCCACATCCTTGTTCCATTTGATTTTTCCTTTTGGAGAAAGATATTGTTTATCTTTCTCCAATTTGTAATACAATAAATGTGTTATTATTATATTAYAAATCCTCTGATGTGTTTTACAGGGTGAGGCAGCATAACTTCCTTTTTTCAAAACTTAACAAAACCCATTGTATGAATCAGATTTTTTATATATATAATGTAGGCGCATACCTAAAGTTTTGTTTTACGTAGTTTTGAAGATCAAATTAGGTAGGTGACGTCCCCCTTTCTCCATACACTGAGTAAACCGATTTATGGAGTTTGTMATGACTCTTGSCAGCATAGCAGGCGTTATGTTGGCAATTTCTTCCTGGATGTTGGTCTTCAAATCTTGTAGGGTCCTTGGACRGTTCATATAAACACGGGATTTCAAAAAACCCCATAGAAAAAAATCACAAGGGGCCAAATCTGGAGAGCGGGCCGGCCACTCCAACTCTGCTTGAAAAGTAGGCCTCAACGGCAAAAACAYGCTCMTCACTGTTCCAACGCATGATGGCGACTGAACTGTGTCAGGACCAAACTTGATACTCGAGGCCACTAGCGCTCCGCTACGTCTTCAACCGACTGAATGGCGCGCGTTTTAAAAAAGGAAGTTATGCTGCCTCACCCTGTACTTAGGCCCCATCTACACTGCCATATACAAATCAGATTATCTGATTTGAACTGGATTATATGTCTGTGCAGACTCATATGATCCAGTTCAAAGCAGATAATCTGGATTATCTGACCGTGCAGAAGGGGCCTTAGTCCCTTTTGCACCAGGATGGGATGGCAAGGTGTATGTGTTCATTATTACTGACTAGAAGACAATTCCATGATATATTCCTGCGTGTAGATAAGACCTTTTGCTTGGCCTCACTTTCATCTCTCTGTAGCATCTTACCCATACTGGATTCTCTTCCCATTAAGACCCCCACCTGTGAACCCAGGGGCATCTTGCAGTCTTTCAGCCATTTCTAGTTTTCACCTTGGTCTTTGGCAGTTATCCCTGCTCCTCACACATGTATCGAAAAGTGTGCCGAATCTGTTATCTTTGACTAAAATGTTTAAGGCTTGTTGTGGCAGCTTGTTCCCCGTAATGAATTTGTGGATCTGAGCTGTGTATATAGTAGATTTTAAAGGAGGGAAATGTTTATTCTATTTATTGTGATTTGCAAGGGTTTGTTTTATGGAATGATTAATTTAATTATTAAAAAAAGCATTAAATCTATTTGTAATTGACTGGCATGGTGTCCTGGAGAATTTTTCAGAGAAGCGAGTATCAACACACACCTCCCCTTTGCTTTTAGAGGACACAGTCCCAGATGGTGAAGCTGGGAGACGCCTGCTCGGACCCCTGGCCTTTGACCTGTGGGGTCCCGCAAAGCTCCATTCTGTCTCCCATGCTTTTTAACATCTACATGAAACCGCTGGGAGAGGTCATCCGGAGATTTGGAGTTGGGTGCCATCTCTATGCAGATGACACACAACTCTACTACTCTTTTCCACCAAACTCCAAGGAAGCCCCTCGAGTGCTAGACGAGTGCCTGACCGCTGTGGGTGTCTGGATGAGGACGAACAAGCTGAAGATTAATCCCGACAAGACAGAGGTCCTCCTGACCGGGGTATAGGGTGGCAACCTGTGCTGGATGGGGTTGCACTCCCTCTGAAGTCGCAGGTCCGCAGTTTGGGCTCCTCCTGGATTCTTCGCTTACGTTTGAGGCTCAGGTGTCGGTGGTGGCCGGGAGGGCCTTTGCACAATTAAGACTTGTGCGCCAACTGCGACCGTACCTCGGGAAGGCGGATCTGGCCAAAGTGGTCCACGCCTTAGTCACCTCTAGACTGGATTACTGCAATGCACTCTACGTGGGGCTGCCCTTGAAAATGGCCCGGAAATTTCAGATGATCCAACGGGCCAGGTTTCTAACTGGGGCGGCTTACAGGGAGCGGTCAACCCTCCTGTTCAAGGAGCTCCACTGGCTGCCATTCATCTACCGGACCCAATTTAAGGTGCAGGTTCTTACCGACAAAGCCCTGAACGGTTTGGGACCCACCTACCTGCATGACCGCATCAATGTATACGAACCCACACAATCCCTTCGATCATTTGGAGAGGCCCTGCTCTCGATCCCACCAGCATCTCAGGCGCGATTGGTGGGGACGAGAGAAAGGGCCTTTTCGGTGGTGGCCCCTCGACTCTGGAACTCACTCCCTAAAGACATCAGACAGGCCCCAACCTTGGCAGTCTTTAGGAGGAGCTTGAAGACGTGGTTGTTCCAGTGTGCCTTCCCGGAATAATGATCCCATAGCACTTTGTCCTCCAAAGCACTTTACACTTATTAGATCTGCTCGTATGCCCTTCCACAAACGCCACTATCACCTTTCGTCCATGTCCCAGCATTATTTCCATTTTAACTTTACATTTGGCCTCCCCACTGTTTTTGTCTTATTGATAATGTTGTATATTTTATTGTCTATGTTTTATTTTAATTGCTTGTACTGTTGTTTTGCTTGTATTGTTGTATTCGGGCTCGGCCTCATGTAAGCCGCACCGAGTCCCTTGGGGAGATGGTAGCGGGGTACAAATAAAGTGTTATTATTATTATTATTTATTACAGTCCCTGAGGAAAAATATGTGGGTCTTTGCGAAGCTTTGCTGAGCACCAGTTTGTATAACTGAGAACCCATAAGGAAAAGTTAGCAAGGACATGCAGGGAACTGAATCACTGCTCTTACATCACCTGTTAGTGGGAGGGATTTGCATCACACCACAACCTTGCACTTAATAAAGGGCTTTTCTCCGCTGCAAGTCTGGCTTGCATGCTGCTTCTTGCCTCGAAAAAATAAGTCTACAACTTTATAAGATTAACACCCATTCTGTATAACAGGGTGAGTAATCCTTGTCCCTCTAAATTGTGTGGATTTCAACTCCCCCACCTCACCATTAGTCTTTCTGACTTTTGGGAGGTAAAAGTATCCGAGGACTTAATAATTTATTTATTTGTATTTATTTACTAGCCGTCCCCTGCCATGCATTGTTGTGGCCCACATAGGGGTTCTGTGGCCCAATTCTCTTGTTGGTGATGTTCAGAATGCTCTGAGATTGTAGGTGAAGTATAAATCCCAGCAACTACAGCTCCCAAATGTCAAGATTCTATTTTCCCCAAACTCCACCAGTGTTCATATTTGGGCATATTGAGCATTTGTGCAGAGGTCCATCATTGTTTGAGTCCACAGTGATCTCTGGATGTAGGTGAACTACAACTTCAAAATCAAGGACACTTCCCACCAAACCCTTCAAGTATTTTCTGTTGGTCATGGGTGAACTGTGTGCCAAGTTTGGTTCAATTCCATCGTTGGTGTGGTTCAGAATGCTCTTTGATTGTACGTGAACTATAAATCCCGGCAACAACAACTTCCAAATGACAAAATCAATTTTTTGAGTAAATGACATACATTGGATTGTTAGGTGTCTTGTGTCCAAATTTGGTGTCAATTCATCCAGTGGTTTTTGAGTTCTGTTAATACCACAAACAAACATTACATTTTTATTTATATAGATTTATTAATCAATTTTATATACCGCCATTCCCCGATGGCTCGGAGCAGTTTACAATATACATATGTGATACATTACATTTAAAATCAAAGCAAAATTTCAATCAGCAAGATTCAAATGCCAGCCTAAATAAATAAGTTTTACAAGCTCTATGAAAAGATAGTAAGTCTCGGAGTACTCGTGTTTCCGCTGGCAAGGCATTCTACAGGTAAGGAGCCACCACCGTGAATGCTCTATGCCTAGTAGACATCAGGTGAAAGGTCCTAAAACTGGGAACTTCAAGGAGATTCTGATTGTCTGAATGGAGTGATCTTGGGGGTTGGTAGGGGGTGAGGCGGTCCCTCAGGTACTCCATCCTTAAAGGTAAGAATCAGCACTTTGAAGGTAATCCGGTGCTCGATCGGCAACCAGTGCAGTTGCTGCAGGATTGGAGTGATATGACACCTCACTGGGACCCCTGCGAGAAGCCAGGCAGCAGCATTTTGCACTAGTTAAGTTTCCGGATCACCGATAAAGGCAGGCCTATGTAGAGGGCATTACAGTAGTCCAACCTTGAGATGACCATAGCCTGGATCACCGTGGCCAGGTCGTCCCTGGACAGATAGGGAGCCAGACACCTAGCCTGACGCAGATGGAAAAATGCAACTCTGCTCACGGCGGAGGCCTGGGCCTCCATCGTCAGCATAGGGTCTGAAAGGACTCCCAGACTCTTTACCAAAGATGACGGGCATGATGTCACACCATCCAGGGCAGGCAACCAGATCACCCCTCCATCCGGGCGACCCAACCAAAGGATCTCCGTCTTCTCTGAATTCACCCTCAACTTGCTGGCACGCAACCATCCGGTAACGGCCTCAAGGCATTGATGGAAATTATCGGGTATGGAGTCCGGTCGGCCTTCCATCCTCAGAATGAGTTGAGTGTCATCAGCATACTGATAGCACTCAAGCCCAAAGCCTCGCACCAGCTGGGCAAGTGGTCGCACATAGATGTTAAACAACAGGGGGGAAAGGATAGCCCCCTGAGGGACCCCACATTTAAGAGGGGCCCTCTTAGAGACCAACCCTTACATCAACCTTGCACTTAATAAAGGGCCTTTCTCCGCTGCAAGTCTGGTTTGCATGCTGCTTCTTGCCTCGGAAAAAAAAGTCTGCAACTTGATAAGATTCTGTATAACCTTATACACCCTTTCTGTATAACAGGGTGAGTAATCCTTGTCCCTCTAAATCGTATGGATTTCAACTCCCCCACCTCCTCACCATTAGCCTTTCTGACTTTTGGGAGGTAAAAGTATCCGAGGACTTAATAATTCCCCACTTTATAGGATTCATGGAAACACCTTTTAAAATGATCGAATCCCCAGCTGCTGTCAGGGTTAAAGTACATCCCAGTGATAATAAGGAAGTACTTTGCCCCTGTTCAGTACTTTGTAGCCATGGATTCTGGCAGGAGGCGTTTGCAGTCTCTTAGGTGCTTTCTGCTTACATTGACCTCTTCTGCATTTTCCAAAGATTAAAGGACAGCATTGGTGGATTTTCCCTTTATTTTTTCCTCCGCAGAAGTTAGGCAGAGTATTGTCGACAATATAAGCCTTGGAAACAGCAGCAAAAAAACCACTATATGGTTCAGATATGTGGATGACTCTTTCACCATTTGGAGCATGGAGAAGGAGAACTCAACAGGTTCCTGGACCATCTTAACAGCATCCACCCAAACATCCAATTCACCATGGAAAAAGAAAATGAAGGAAGACTGCCTTTTCTAGATGTCCTAGTCATCCGTAAACCAGATCAACAATTGAGTCACACCGTTTACAGAAAACCCACACACACAGATAGATATCTACATAAAAACTCCAACCATCACCCAAGTCAAAAAAGAAGCACCATTAAAGCTTGGCAGACCGTGCAAAAAGAATCTCCTCCAAGACGAACTGAACTACCTAAACTGGGCTTTACAGTCCAATGGACACGCCATCACATCTCCTTCGATGAACCAGCGCGAGCTCTAAGATCTTCTGGGGAGGCCCTCCTCTCGGTCCCACTACCGTCTCAGGCGCCGTTGGTGGGGATGAGAGAGAGGGCCTTCTCAGTGGTGGCCCCCCGTCTCTGGAATGCCCTTCCAAGGGAAATAAGACAGGCCCCATCCCTCCTCTCCTTTCATAAGAGCTTGTCTAATACGGCCTTATTCCAACCAGTTACCCAGATTCTTTCCTCTAATCGGCCCTGGAATGAACAGCCACAGACCCGTACCTAATATTATTGTTGCCTGTCATAGCATTGCACTTAATTCCCGGGCCCCCTAGAATTTTTGGGTTTGCACAAAACTTGGCCCGGCCTTTTAAATTTTTAACTGCCTTGAACAGGCAGGATTACTTTTAATACATGTGTGTTATGGCGACAATTTTTATGTTTTTATTTTGTTTGTTAATCTTATGGTTATGTTGTTTTTACTCTGTATGTTTTGTGATATTACTTGGGAACCGCTGTGAGTCCCCTCAGGGAGGTGGAGTGGGATATAAATAAAGATTTATTTATTTATTTATTTATTAATTATTATTATTATTATTATTATTATTATTATTATTATTATTATTATTATTATCTGAAGAGCTGCAAGACCGAGAACAAGCCATGAGAATTAAGATAAAGATCCAACTATTGTGTCCAATTCTGGGAACCACAATTGAAGAGAGATATTGACAAACTGGAATGTGTCCAGAGGAGGGCGACTAAAATGATCAAGGGTCTGGAGAACAAGCCCTATGAAGAGCGGCTTAAGAGCTGGGCATGTTTAGCCTGAAGAAGAGAAGGCTGAGAGGAGATATGATAGCCATGTATAAATATGTGAGAGGAAGCCACAGGGAGGAGGGAGCAAGCTTGTTTCCTGCTTCCCTGGAGACTAGGACGCGGAACAATGGCTTCAAACTACAAGAAAGGAGATTCCATCTGAACATGAGGAAGAACTTCCTGACTGTGAGAGCTGTTCAGCAGTGGAACTCTCTGCCCCGGAATGTGGTGGAGGCTCCTTCTTTGGAAGCTTTTAAACAGAGGCTGGATGGCCATCTGTCAGGGGTGATTTGAATGCAATATTCCTGCTTCTGGCAGGGGGTTGGACTGGATGGCCCATGAGGTCTCTTTCAACTCTAGGATTCTAGGCTGAAAAAAAGTCCAGATACTTTTCTGACTGCACCCTGCCTCTGTTTTAACAAGTGGGCTGGGATCAATAGGCATCTCCTAAAAGGAAGGGTCCCCAAATACTAGCCCTCATTCAGCATAGAATCATAGAATCAAAGAGTTGGAAGAGACCTCATGGCCCATCCAGTCCAACCCCCTGCCAAGAAGCAGGAATATTGCATTCAAATCACCCCTGACAGATGGCCATCCAGCCTCTGTTTAAAAGCTTCCACTCGGGGCAGAGAGTTCCACTGCTGAATGGCTCTCACAGTCAGGAAGTTCTTCCTCATGTTCAGATGGAATCTCCTTTCTTGTAGTTTAAAGCCATTATTCCGTGTCCTAGTCTCCAGGGAAGCAGAAAACAAGCTTGCTCCCTCCTCCCTGTGGCTTCCTCTCACATATTTATACATGGCTATCATATCTCCTCTCAGCCTTCTCTTCTTCAGGGTAAACATGCCCAGCTCCTTAAGCCGCTCCTCATAGGGCTTGTTCTCCAGACCCTTGATCATTTTAGTCGCCCTCCTCTGGACACATTCCAGCTTGTCAATATCTCTCTTGAACTGTGGTGCCCAGAATTGGACACAATATTCCAGGTGTAGTCTAACCAAAACAGAATAGAGGGGTAGCATGACTTCCCTCGATCTAGACACTATGCTCCTATTGATGCATGCCAAAATCCCATTGGCTTTTTTTGCCGCCACATCACATTGTTGGCTCATGTTTAACTTGTTGTCCACGAGGACTCCAAGATCTTTTTCACACGTAATGAAAGGGAGCTTTGCCCCCTTTACTGTCCCTTTACTTACATTGGAAGACACAGGACCAATGTCCAGTTTATCTCTAATGTTTTGGTGGGACGGAGAAATGAAATCATGGTTTCAGATGAGCAAAAATGTCCTGTCTGATTTGATTCTGGTTGTGCTGAGGCTTCATAAATAGCACAAGTAAGGGAGCTTTGTAAGAGACAGACAGTACTCAAATGAACCTGTTGCGTGGAGTTTTATCGCCCCAAATAACGTCCCAGCTGCTGGGTGGGGCCCTCAGTGATGCAGGGAAGGAAGGAAGCCAAACATTTTGTAACTCCAGTTGTCTGCTTTCTTGCCAAGCGCTGAAAGGGGGGGGGGGGTGACTGGGCGCAGCCTGAGATGCAAGCAAGGAAGAGATAGCAGGAGCTTTAAAAATGAAAGTACACAACAGCTGAGCCTGTTTTGCAACTTCAGAGGGCTTGACTCTGTGCCAAGAGCCCAGCATCTGCCAGGAAACCGCCAGCAGCTGAGTGCAGGGATTACCAGCAATGCCTCAAGCGCACGCAAGTCATCGCTTCTTGCCCAAGGAACTAGTGATGTCTTATCCTCTGGTACATGGGTTTGGAAACAAAGAGTAGATCAAATATAAAATCCATCAGAGATGTTCAAAGAGCTATATACGCTTGTATGGAAATGATTCCCATAGAATTAAGAAATGCTGTACAGCCTTTAACAACTCAATTTTAATTTAAAAAAAGATTGGAAAGAATGATTTTATTTATGATCTAGCAAAGTGATGAATGCAAGGCTGGGGTAAAAATAGCTGGAAGGAACATTAACAACCTTAGATATAATAATTATCATCATCGTCATCATCATCGTCATCATCATCATCATCATCTTTATTTGTACTCCACCACCATCTCCCCTATGGGGACACCGAGCGGCTTACATGGGGCCAGGCCCAAACAACAAATTACAATAAAAAGAACCGAAAAGGCAAACAATAAACAACATCATAATTACATCCCGTATAGATTACTGCAACACGCTCTACGTGGGGCTGCCTTTGAAGACAGCCCAGAAACTTCAAATGGTCCAGCGTGCGGCAGCCAGGTTGCTAACAGGAGTGGGGCTCAGGGAGCATACAACTCCTCTG